TGGGTCCACTCTTTCCTTGCAACATCCGTGAAAAAAAGAAGCAAAGTCAAGCTCATGAATTAAAAGGAGCGCTTGTGGGAGCACAAACTAGATATGGGCAGTGAAGATGAGTTAGGCATGGAGGAAGATCGAGATATCCCTTCTACGTCAAATGTGCCTCCACAAGCTGATTATGGAGAACAACTACAGAGGCTAGAGCACAAGCTTATCAAAATGGAGAAAAACTTGGCAGCCTATTTCGCATCTGTAGGATTTCAACCATCCTCCCCATCTCGCCGTTCCGGGAAGTCCCTTTAATTTTTTTTCTTTTCTACTCCAAGTTATGGGTGAGCTTCTTCTATTTTTTGATACATTGGGGACAATGTATATATTAAGTGTGGGGGAGGGCACTTGATAATTTTTATGTTAACTCTAGTATGCTTTAATCTTCACCTTTTAAACTTTCTTTTTTGAAATTTGTGCTCCTTTGAAACTTATTTTTGAATAACTTCAAATTATCATAAATTATGTGCTTAGGTTGAAAAGACAAGATAGGATACAAGCATGAATAATTGAATTTTTTTTGCTAAGATAAGTACATCATCACTTTGAATGGTCAATTTAAAAGAAAAATGTACAAGATTCAATACAAATTTAACCCTTATGTGAGCTTTTGAGCCAATGAGCATTCTATCATTTTTTCTCTAATTATTTTTTCCGTTCAGTGATTGCCAAACATAGTTTGATTATTCTAGAACTTGCTTTGTTATACATGTTGAGACCACATTAATGAGTTCATGGATTAGAATGAAAAGAGTTTAGGTTAGTCATTTTGAATTCGTAAAAAGCCTACCCTTATTTCATTTTCCCTTAGAATAACCAAGTTGAGCCTTATCCCCTTCTTTGTTTAGCCATAACTATGTCACTTTAAACCTCTTCATTTTACCTTTAACCCTAAGATCAAGGGATTAGTTGAATTAAAGTGCATGAAATTTGTAGTGTGAAATTTGAAGAAAGATAGTGGAAGTTGTTTTTATTTTCAAAAAAAAAAAACAAACATTGCCTTGATTGCTCTAGTTTACAAGAGAAGTTGAAAACACTGCTTGTCTGTCTGTAAATTTCTGTTGCAATGTTGTTGCTTCAAGAATACTTTCAGCTTCATCTCTTCTATGTGTTCACGACCCCCCTAGGGGTTTCTTGAATTCAAACTGATATGTAGCACTTTAGTGATGTTGGAGGGTGAGTTGGAGAAGGTCTTAGACGTGGCTAGTGGCTGTGTGAGGGTGTGTGCATGGGTTCCTCCCTAGGTTCAAGTGTCTAGGCTAAAATGTGTGTCATAAGGTTAGGGAGTGCTAGGTTTGACATAGGAGGGGGAGGGGTTCTTTGGATGTGATTGATGTTTTCTCATGAATTTGGACATGGTTAGGGAAGCTTGGGGCTGCTTGGGATATAAAGGGGGGAATTCTCTAGGCTAATGGGGGTAGAGTTCCCTTCCTAAGCTAGATTTTCTAGGTTAGATTGTGTGTCTAGGATGTGAGAAAGGGGTGGTATTTAGAGATTTTTGGGGAAGAATTTAGAAGGGAATGAAGGGCTGAGATTGGGAGAATACGAAAATCAATGGCTGATGTTTAAAGGGTTTTTGGAGGGAGATTGATTGAGAGAATAGGCTGTCAAGACAACTTTGGGAGAGATCCTCTCAATCAATCAAGACAATGAGTGGAAGATTTCGCCAATTTACCTAAATTGGGCATTCCAAGTTTAGGTGATTGGTTTGATAGATTGGAGGATCTAGTTGGTCAAATATTAGATGTTTCTAGAGGCTGAGAGGAAGTTTTGGTCGTGGAATACCCTAGGTTCGAAGTTATTGTGAAGAGGATTCTAAACGGAGGGCCCGGATCGAGTCTAGCTTTGGGTCTCAAGATGGAGGGGCTAACGGTGTCAGAATTGGACAATCTTGGTACCATTGGACTCAGAATTTTGAGCTCTATCCATCTACATGGTTGGATTTCAGATTTTCTTGGTGATATGATTTAGGATCAGAGATGATCCTGATCAGACAATCGGAATTGGTTCCCGCTTTGGGTCTTGAGATGAAGGGGTAAGTGGTGTCAGATTTCAGTGATCTTAGTTTTGTTGAACTTGGATTTTTGGGATCTACATGCCTATGGTGTTGGATTTCTGATTTTCTGGGGGATAGAATTTAGGATCAGAGATGATCCCAATCAGATGATCGGAATCAGTTCCGGCTTCGGGTCTTGAGATGAAGGGGTAAGTGGTGTCGGATTTGGGTGATCTTGGTGTTTCCGGACTTGTATTTTTGGGATCTATGTACCTATGGTGTTGGATTTCTGATTTGATGTGAAATGAGGTTTATGATCAAAGTGACTCCGATCAAACGATCGGAATCAGTTCAAGTTTCGGGTCTTAGGATGATGGGGTAAATGGCGTTGGACTCAGATGATTTTAGTGTCATTGGATTTGGGTTTTTGGGCTCTACGTACCTATGGTCTCAGATCCTTGAGGCCCCAACTTTTGTAAAATTGCAAAAATACCACCGAGTCGGCTGAGAGGTTAGTTGAAGCATGTTTGAAGCTCAAAGTGTTACAGAAAGACTAAGGAGTGCAAAAATGGGGTGTCTACAACAGGGATGTAGATTCTTTTCCCTATGTATCTTGCTTTAATGCACTAGTGATAGGTGGATGGTACCAATTCCAAGGCATGTATTGATAGTTGCTTGACAAGGGTGTGATAGATGGTTTGTCGTGATATTATTTGGAATTCCTGTTCTATAAGAAACAAGCTGGTGATGACAGAAAACATGATGGATCCTCTAGTGGCAAAAACATTCCCATTGAAGTCTATAACTTCCATGGTCAAGCCATTGATCTCTTCCTCCTCTATTTTCATTAACTTTAATATATGTGTGGAGATCAAATTTATAGACCTGCCTTGGTCCACCAGTGACCGCCTCATCTTGTAGCCTCCTATCTTTGATGTTATGTATAGGGTCCGGTTATGGTGGGGATCGGTTGCCAGCATATCCTCCTATGTGAATTCAACATTTAGGTTGTTCATTCGATGGGGCCTGAGAGGTCGCCTGAATGCTTCAACCAGTGCCTGGATAGCAATCCTCCACGTAGTGTTGCTCACCCCTTGTATCAACATGTCCACAACAATACTGTTGTGGGCTGCTGTGCCAACCATGTTTACACTTCCTCCCTACTAATGGACAGGAAGAAGATTGGTATCGATTTGCACGGGCTTATGCTTGACAAAGTCATCCAACTTGACTTTATGGACGAACAACTGCCATAGGGTGAAGCAGTCCATGAGATCATGATTTAGTGACTAATGGAAGTCACACCATCTTGGCACATGTCGATCCTTCTCAGGATCTACACCAATAGGTGGTGGTAGTGGACCATTATCATGCTGCCCTTATTACTAGGCTAGAAGTATAAAGCACAACTAGGTCCCCAACCGTTGAACGGCTTGCAATCGACGATATATGCTTCTTGTCATTGATATGTTAGGCCAAGACTAGCTTGTTTTGGTTTGGGCATAGTGACAGTCCTCATAGTTCTCTTTGCGCACTTCCATAGTTGGCTGAAGGTTTTGAGCTCGATGTTCTCGATCTTGATCCGGTAGGTAGGGTGCATCCAGATGCATTGCTCTATGAACCCCTTTTCATTAGCATACTCGTCAAACATGGTGTGGGTAAGCTTTTGAAACCGCATAACGTAGGCCAAGAGGTCCTCTCCCGATCGTTGTTCGACATTGCGGAGGTTGACCATTGTGAGTCTCCTTTTTGAGGTGAAGCAGTTGGACAAGAATTTGGTAGTGAGTTCTCCCTAAGAGTCTAGGCTCCCAGAGGTCAAGTTAACAAACCATGAATAGGCTGGCCCTGTAAGGGACTTAGAGAATTCACATACTTTGAGATCATTGTCTAAGGAGAAAGCCCCCAGGGCATCTTCGAACAGGACAATAGGGCATCATGTTTTATGAGTAGTGCTAGGTGTAGGCGGGTAACTGCCTCCGTATGGTTGAAGGGTAGGTGCTTTGGGTAAGGATTCTACTAGGTAGTTAGAGGGCATTGTGGATGGACTGGCGAGGGTGAAAGGGGGATTCTCTGGCATGGTTGTCTATTGTAGAAGTAATTGTAGGGTATCTCTCATCTTGGTCTACACCTGCTCTAGGAGATTAAACTGTGTTGGGATTAGGATGTTAGGGATGAACTTGATTTCTCCGAGGCGGAATGTTACGGAATTTTGGTTGTCCCTGTGATTTGTGTCTCCCCCTTTTTATAGAGGAGATCCCAAGGTTATAAAGAGAATTGACCAAAAGAGGACTTTTCTCATTAATGAAGGGGATCTTGGTTCTTTTATATGTCCCCAGGTAAACTCTACTGGAATTTCGCCATGTGTTTAACAAGATCCTTTAAGAACAAGGTTTCCTTTTCTTCCAGGATTTTCGCATAAAACATGCTAGCTACGTCCCTTTGTGGATTTTCCCGTGGTCACGTGTCAAGGGTAAGATTTTTGAACAGATGACATGTTCGGGCAGCTTAGCAATTGTCCTCAAAATGCTTCATCGCAGTTTGTTGTGATCGCAGGAAGTGCAAATCGACTGCGAAGGGGTGTTTGTACGCTCATCACAGGTCATGAATGATACTTTATACTCATCTAAGGCCATGGATGATGTTTTATGTTCATCACAAACTAGCCATGAATTATGTTTTATAATCGTCGTAGGTCATGAATGATGTTTTATGCTCATCGCATGTGCATACCACTCACATTCCCTCCATAGAGTGCTATCATGCTATTACGGAAGCTTATTGCACATTCTGGTAGCCTAGACATTGATTGTTGTTACCATAAATTTCATGGTAGTGAAATACGTATACGGAAAGTGGGAACCACATCTTGTTTTTAACATCACTCCTAAAAAAATTACTTTCCTCCTGGCTCCATTCCCTTTCGTGTAAACAAATAAAACAAAGTCAAAATGACAAAATGACGCAGAACCAAACCAGAATTTACACTTGGATACATTTACACATTAAAAATTGAAATACAAACCGAAAACAAGCTGATCCTTAGATCCAAAAATGATAGGCAATGATTAATAATAATATGTTAGTTCCAGCACCCGATTTAAACAAGTGGGGCTGGTTCCTGTAGAAGACTAATCAAAGCCTGAAAGCCATGGTTGTATGATATATGTTGTGAGTGGGGAGAAGTTGGTACCCCCAAACCCTGCGTCTGTACCTACAAGTGAAGTTGTCACCGTCTTCACACGAAAATATTCAAACACATTGTTAAGAAGCTGCTGTAGATAATTTAGCGGCTTGATCCAAGACATCCACCACCTGTGCCCTGCTTTTTGCAATCCGGTGGAAGACTTCTCTTATTTGATGCTGCAAAGGAAGCAACCCTTCTTCCATCTTCTGGCATACCTCTGCCAATTCAGCTACCTGCAACCTAATCTCTTCCATCTGCTCCGCTTCTACCGGGAACTGAACCGAATCCGCCAATTCAATCAGCCTCTGGCTGCACCTCTCTAACCTTTGCATCTCATCCAGCAACCCCGCTGATCCTTTCTTCTCCTTCTTCTTCCACTCCTCCGCAATTCGCTCCTGTAGCCCAGTTATGGGGCTGGCCCAGCCCAATTGCCGGAGGAACGCAAAATGGGTTAGAAGCCCAGCTCTGTCCTGGCACGGAATTGCCGCCACAAGAGTCCACATCACAACCACCAACACCGTACTCATGATGTAAACGGACATGGCCTGCCCAGTAGATTCCCATCCACGTGGCATCATTAGATTGGCAGACATTGCCTGAATTTGCTTTGCTGCTGACCACGTCTTCGACACACTACCAGACAGCGACCGGAAATACCCATGACTCCGATCCTTGGCTGAGGCCGAGCCACTGCCTTTCCGTCCAAAGGACCAAACCCGCTCCGTCGACCTGTTATGGGAAGAACCCTCTCTATCGTCGACCGTCATCGACGTGACAAGAGCACTCAAGGCCTTCCTAGCGCGACGAACCTGGCCTTCTCCCACTGGCTTTTGCTTAAGAGCCGACACGGCGATCTCAGCTAACTTTTGGCAGTGACGGACCGAGTCAATGCCGTGTGTGACTGCGTTGCATACATCAAGCGCTTTAACCATGCGATCGAGCAATTCCGGGATAAAACGATCTAGCGGTGGCTTGGCGGCGTGAGAAGGGTCGCGATCAAGGAAGAATAAGGCCTTGAATTCCGATTCGCAACAGAGGAAGGAATCGAGGAGCTTTCGCACCCATGCGATGGAGAGATCATCGACATGGTCAGAGGCATCAGAGGATGAACGTTGGAGTGAAAGATCGAGGAAGCGATCGACGATGTGATTCTGAAAGATTTCGAGGTCTTCAAGCTCTTGTTCTTGAGTGCCTTCCATGGATATCACTTGGTTCCGACGGATGCTGAGGATCGACCGTCCTAAAAAGGCCAACGGTACGGAGGAACCCTGGTATTCTGTTGGACGCATGCTTGAGAGTTGAGAGACAGAGAGGAGGGGGGAGAAACAGAGAGAGAGTGAGCAAGATGAACGAGACGAAGAATCGCTCTGATAGATATATGTGTAGATGGCTTACAGAGGACGAGACAGTTTCTCCCTTCTTTTGGATTTAGTAATAAGCTGACTCAACAGTTACTGTTTTTTTTCCAGAAATACCCCTGCATTGTTTGTACTAGCAGTTCGGGTACAATGCAGTTATTTGTTCCAAAAGCAAGGGCTTTTGAATTTTGAGTTGATATTAAGAAAGATGCCTTGCTGAGTCAGCAACACTCGACCTTTTCTTCGCTACGATGACGACTTGGCGTGTTCAACTGTTGCAAATAAATAATATATATATATGGTCCAACCTCAGAAGACTGAGAGCTGAAGAAAAGTATGATTTTGACCGAGTCATAGCTTTCCATTCCCTAGACACGCCATACATTTCATTTTACAAGCACCAAACGGGAAGTTTAACGCCGGTTTGATCTCCGTTACCGGTCATCTACCATGGTATCACGGCCACCTATCGCAATCCATGGACCCACTCATCCACCGGCTTTCGGCACCACGTGGGTACCATCCCTACTTTCAACTGGTTTGTACTGAGAAACCCAATTTTCAGAGAGATCCGTACACAATGAAAATGAAGTATATCGCAACCAGCGAAAACCTCCTAATTTATACTTTGTACTGATCCACAAGCTTTATTGCGATATTTCTAATTTATAATCGAGTCGGTCCATGGTCAATTCCTATGCTTTATTTTTTTTTATTTTAACTTGTATTAATTTTCTTATTTTTAATGAAAAAATTTATAAATTCTATTTAATTTTTATGACATTTTAAAGTAATAAAGATTACTTTTTAAAACTTATAAATTATTATTAATTTTACTAATTTTGTGAATGTTTACTAATTTGTATTATTTTTAATGGATTTTAATTTTTATTAGTTTTATTAATAATGTAAATTTTATTTATTTCTATTATTATTGGATAAATTTATTTTAATTTAATTGGAATTTAAATGGATTTTAAATTAATAAAAATGCATTTTAAAGTTAATAAATATTTGGTAAATTTTATTAACTTCATTAATAAAATTATTCCTTATTTATAAAGTTTATTAATTTCATTAGTAAATTATTTTTATTAATTTCAATTACCTTTTAATTAATTATTAATTATTATTATTTTAAATAGATTTTAAATTAAAAATTACTCTTATAAAACTAATACTTTTATATTTTTATTAATTTTAAATGGATCCACATGGGTTCATATAACATATAGTACAATATATAGGTTGAGTCAACATCAAACATAATGGGTTTGTCTTTAGGGACGAGTCGATATATTATATAGTTTGCATATGACATTCAGGGTGATATATAGGGACGAGTCAATTTCAAAATAAGTGGATCCATATAGAGTATGTGCGGTTCTTTTTTGCCTCCAATTCCAAAACATTCTATTATAGATTTGACTAAGCGCTGTTTGAGAACACTTACAAGAAGTATTCCTTTTAATAAGTATTTCTTTTAAGAGTTGGGATTATACATTAAGTGGTTTTGTATTTGGTAAAATAGTGGGAAAGAAATATTTTTTTTAAAGAAGTACTTCTTAAAAAAGTGACTTGAAATTGGCTTTTTTTTGGGTTTCTAACAGATAAGGGCAACTTTTTGCCCTGAATATTAATAAAAGATAATATTTTTATAAAATAACCAAAATAAGGTAACTTTTTTTGAAAAATATCAAGGAAGGGCAATGGCATTGTTCGTCGTCTTCCTCTTCCTCTGCCGCTATGATTGTTTTTAACAGGTAACTACAAGTGGCGATTTGAGACAAAGGGATGGAGCTTAGGTGATCTGAGCATCGTCTTCCTCTGCCTGTTATCGTCTTCATCTTCTGCAATGGTTTATCGTCTTCCTCTACCTCTGTCATCATCATCTCGAATCAAGCTCGCTAGATCTATAGAGGCAAGCAGTCGTGACGGTTGTGACCATTCTCCCTCGTGTTCCAGGCAACAACATCACGACCGCCTCTACGGTTGTTGGTTTGGTCTTGAGACCGGTCTCAGGACCGGTCATTCTGGTCACGACTGCCTGAGATCAGAACAACAACTGCGAAAGAAAATGGTGTTGCCATCTCTTTCGGGTAGTAACGACAACAACATCACGACCGCTTGTGTCCTGCTCCGCCTCTCGCATGAATAGTGTATTCTGATGAACATAGAGGCAAAGGAAGATGATGAACGGTGTCATTGCCCTTCCTTGATATTTTCAAAAAAAGTTACATTATTTTTGTTATTTTATAAAAATATTATCCTTTATTGATATACAAGGCAAAAAGTTGCCCTTATATGCTAGAAACCCTTTTTTTTCAGCACTTCTTGAAGAAGTACTTCTCCAAAAAAATGGGATGAACTAGTCCCTAATATTTTCTTATAATACCTAAAATACCCCCACGCGAGTGTTATACCTCCATTTCCTCTCATTCAAACATATCTACCAAGTAAAGGTGCACCCAGTTATAGGTCCACCGGTGAAGATTGGCAGTGAGGAAAAGTGGTTGGCGGACCTGTCGTTTGGCCACTTTAAATTCTTCTATTTTTTGAAGTTATTCTTTTTATTTACCCCTCATGCTCGTTCGATCCTCTATTGTCTATCACGCACTGACACCGGGAGATGTTAAGGGCCGCCAGTGTAACCTTTTCTTCAGTATCGGAGGTAATCAAGGAGTACCCGGATTTGGTCAGGAAGTATTTAGGCAGAGTCCCTCCTGATGATAACTACTATGCTGCGCTAAACTCTACCGTTTTCAGCGATGAAGATGGAGATGGCAGCCTTGTGAACTCAGATAGCGGCGATGGTGGTGGTGGTGCTGATAATCCACCATTAGCCCATTTTCCGATGATGCAACCGATTCTGAATTGCGTGTTAGCTCAAGCAACGACTCTTTCACATGGTCTACTTGAACCACTTCACTGCCCCTCTTCTACTACACAAATGCACAGACCATGTATTAATTCTCTCTCTTTCTCTCTGGTATTATTTATGGTGATTGAGGAGAAGTATATATAAGCTTACTTCAACCTTGAAAATAATAATGTAGACGTCCATGGGCCCATGCATGGCCCATGCACGCCTAAGTAAGTCTTTAAGCCCATCAAGCAAAACCGAATCCCTTAAGGTTCTTGTATGTAATTAACTAAAACAAACTAGGATAATCCTAATCCCATCTCAGGATAAGAATGATCCTAGGTAACCAGCACAAGAATTATCCTAGATAAACCTCAGCTAACCTTGATAATCTCTACCTCTTGGGTGCTTATATTTGTACAATCCCATTCTGAACCAATCTCTGTAACTATAAATGGAGTGGCATTCGGCCCTAACAAAAAGAGGTTAGCTGAATTATTCTTTCAGCTTATTTTTCTTCCTAAATCTCTATTAATGTTACTTTTTATTTTCTTTATCTGTTTTAGCTTGGTATCAGAGCCATGTCGACAGAGACAGGTACACATGGTAGCAGCCCAGCAGCCTCCATCAATAGCTCAACAACTAGCAGTGCACTCCCTTCAATCCATAATGTTACCCATTATCTTCCTATCAAACTTGGAAGTGATAATTACCTGCTATAGCGTGCTCAGTTCCTTCCCATCCTTCGACACCACCACCTTTTGGAGCTCGTAGAAGGGAAGAAGAAACCACTGCCTAAAGTTATACCCAACCCAAATGGTACAAGGATGATTGTGAACCCTGAATTTGAAAAATGGACGGACATAGATCAACTTGTGTTGAGTTGGCTGATTTCCTCTCTCATTGAAGGAGTTATGGCACAAGTGGTGGGTTTATTGACATCATCAGAGGTATGGACTTCGCTTGCTCATAGTTATTCCACCCACTCCAGTTCTAGGGTACTGCAGTTGCGGAAACAACTGCAAAATCTTGAAAAGGGATCTCTCTATTTCTGCATATATACAACGAGCCAAATCTATTGCTGACAGTCTTTCTACATTATCTGAATCAGTTCTCAAGTCAGAATTGGTACTTTACATTTTATTTGGCTTAGGGAGCAAATATGGGTCAGTAGTTACAGCACTTACCAATCAACCAGATGCAGCAAATCTTGGTATCACAGATATTATGGGAACACTTCTGAACCATGAGAGCTGGCTTGAAGACTTAGTTCTTGCTTTAAACCCTCAAAGTGCAAATCTAGCAGGCGTTCCTCCTAAGAAAAACAATTCTCAGAAGCCCCCACAATAGTTCTCTCCAAACTTCAACAACAACAGAGGTAAAGGGCGTGGACGTGGTTCTCCACAATATAATCACCAATCCTTTCAAAATTAGTCACAACAATTTCATGGAAGACGTGGAGGTTAAAGTAATGTTACTTGTCAGATCTGTAATAAATTTGGACATAGTGCCCTATAGTGTCGGAAAGCAAAATATGCCTTTGGTTTTTCTGATAATTCTTGCAATGATCCTTTTTCTTTTCATGTAGGCATAAATACCCCTCAAAATTAGTATGAAAATAATTTTGACTCCGACTGGTATCCAGACTCTAGAGCTACCCATCACATGACTCCAGATCTAGATAATCTGTAGAATCGCACTGAGTATACTGGACCAGGTCAAGTGAATGTCGGCAATGGTCAATGTTTGAATATTCATCATATAGGATCTTCCTCTATGATATTCAATCAGCATGCTTTCTCTTTGAAGGATATCTATCATGTTCCTTCTATTTGCAAAAATTTACTTTCTATTGGTCGATTTACAAAAGATAATGATATATTTTTTGAGTTTCACCATGACTGCTGCTATGTGAAGGATTATACGGGGAGAACCCTGCTTCGAGGGGCCAACGGAGATGGATTATACAGCTTTCCTGCGTCAGCCACAATCACTCTCGAAGCTCTAATTGGAGAATGTACTTCACGTCGTGGTTGGCATCTTCGTCTTGGTCATGCAACTATGCGTAATGTAGGGCAAATTGTTTCAAAATTTGGTCTTCCGTTTATTAGATCTAGTGTTTAATGAGTCTATTTGTGAGTCCTGTGAAATGGGCAAGAGTCATAGAATGCCCTTGAAGTCATCCAGGTTTTAGTCCAAGCATCCATTAGATTTAATTTTCTCAGATGTATGGGGCTTTGCTCCTATTAAGTCAAATAATGGATTTTCTTATTATGTTATTTTTATGGATGATTTTTCAAAATTTTCTTGGGTGTATCCTATGGCTTGAAAATCAGATGTTTGTGATTTGTTTATTAAATTTAAGAGACATGTAGAGGTTTTGTTCAATGCAAAAATAAAAGTCCTCCAGTCATATTGGGGTGGAGAATATCACTCTCTCGGTAGTTAGACTCTCAAGGAAGCACACATCGATTGGTGTGCCCTCATACACATGAATAGAATGGATCTATTGAACAGAAGCACAGGCATGTGGTTGAATCTGCTTTATCTCTACTAGCCTCCTCCAAACTCCCCTTCTCCTTCTGGGCTGATGCGGTAGAAATTGCAGCTTTTCTAATAAATCGACTACCAACTGAGGTACTAAATGGTATGTCCCCTCATGAGAAACTTTTTCAGACATCTCCTAATTACTCTCTACTGTGATGTTTTGGTTGTGCCTGCTATCCTTTTCTGCGGCCCTACAACAAGAATAAGTTTCAATTTTGATCTCTTCAGTGCATTTTTATTGGCTACAATACCTCCCACAAAGGGTATCGCTGTCTACATGTCC